CACATTTGACTTCATTGGTTATTCTGGATAGTAAACAAAATTGTAATCCCCGGTTGCCATGACCACCACTGTAAAGAAACCTAATTCAGTTTCTCCCTAATGAACCATTTCACATCAAACCACTCAGAAGGACTGTTCACCTCTCAACTTCCCCTTTAAACACATAAGACAAAAATAAAGCCTGTTAAACGCCCAAACTGCTCATTTGGAGTTCTAAACGACAATCCAGAGAGGAAAAGGGTCATTTGTCTGACAAAGTCGACAACCGAGACTATGTTTCAGAAGCTTCCTCTCTAATGAACCCCCAATCCCACAGTAATTACCACAGGCCTCTCCTTGCCACACATATTCATTCCTTAAAAAGTCCACAACTCTGCTTTGCCTTGGCAACCTCACATTAACACACACACACACACACACACACACACACATACTTGTCCTGGCATCACTCTGACCTGTGTGCCAAGGATTGTGCAAAGACCTGGCAGTTCTCGTAATAATACATCAACTTAAATGTACTTTCATATTTATACACAGCGTTGGGATGTAACAAAATACAGGCAGTGTGAATTTCTGTATTCTGAATATGAATTAAGGATACAGTCCAAGTTACACTTTGTAAAGGTATCATTCAGAATACAGTTGCTTTTTACATTTCTCAGTGTTACTGAGGTCTACTAAAGCCAGAGTGGACTGATAAATCAGTGTGATCAGTTATTAATCTCAGTGTTACTGAGCTCTGCTAAAGCCTGAGTAGACTGATAAATCAATGTGATGATCAGTTATTAATCTCAGTGTTACTGAGCTCTGCTAAAGTCTGAGTAGACTGATAAATCAATGTGATGATCAGTTATTAATCTCAGTGTTACTGAGCTCTGCTAAAGCCTGAGTAGACTGATAAATCAATGTGATCAATTATTAATCTCAGTGTTACTGAGCTCTGCTAAAGCCTGAGTAGACTGATAAATCAATGAGACAATCAGTTAATTAATTTCAATGTTACTGAGGTCTGCTAAAGCCTGAATAGACCAAAAAGTAATTAATCTATGTTATTTAACTTTTTAATTGAATGATTCAATAATAATAACAACCTTCTTAAAAATAACCAATACTAATAACTAATAATATTTAACAATAACTAATAATCTCAGTAGTGGACATGTTCGGAAGTGATAGGTTTGGTATTGGTGTCGTACTGGACGTCTGCTCGGGTTATTGTGGAAGCAGCAGCGAGAGAGAAAAAAAGTTGATTTTAAATGATAAATAATTAATCATGAAACATATTAACATATTAAATTAGACAAAAAAAAACTGCCAACTAGCAACAGCAAGGAACTGTGTGAATTTTTCCCCTTTGCCTTATTGAGATGTACCGTAAATGTATTCTAAATGTATTCTGAATATGGAATACATGACTACATATATTTAGGATACTGTACTCAGTATTCAGCCACCACCAGCTACTTTTTTCAAACTATTTTGCCCAACTCTGTTCATAAAGCTACACGGTTGTCCAAGAACACAATCTAACAGCTCCAAACTGCAGGGAAAACACTAAATATTCAAATGAGGTCGTATAAAAAGAGAGTGATAGTTCAGACACAGTTTTCTGAACTGTTATAAGAGCATCTGTCTGACTTTGACCACACTGTCCAGACAGTCAGGTATGTGTTCACTCCGCACTGGTGACGTTTTCACCAGCCAGATAGCAGCTAAGGTTAGTGGTCAAAAGGAGAGACACACAGCTAACATGGCTCCTTTACTCAAATCTAAAATTTCACCTATTGGAAAAGGTACTGCAGCCAGCCGTGGCGTAGTTAACTCACAGTCTTCAATAAAACATACTTTTTTGGTGTACAAACAACGGCGCTTTAGCGTTTTTCACTGAGCTAACCTGTTAGCATACAACGCTAGCCTGTTAGCTCTCGAGCTAGCGCCGTGGATACGCAGCTGTAGCCGAGTAAGTTAGCTTAGCACACGGAAACAAAGCTGCGAACGGCGAATAAAATAGTAAGTACGGTTATTACCTGGTGAAGTGGCGACTCTGGCTGGAGTGAAGAAACGGGGATGGTAAGGGCAGTCTGTCGGACACTAATGTCCACACCCTAGTCGGAGGAGGTTGTGGGTCCACCTCTCTGTGCAGGGAGAGAGGAGCTCCCTTCTGAAATCAAAGCTCCGTCGCCCTCTGTTGGGAACCAGCTTAAAACTCTGCCCTCTGGTCATGTATTTTACACTCTGCCCTGGAGAAATTAGTATTTAGGACTTAAAGGGCGTTTCCACCGAATACAAAATTCTGCATTATTAAATTATTAAGATGTAAACAATGTCAGCAAACAGTGGTTTGGTGTGAAATGCTCTGTACTGAGAGAAATGTACTGAGTCTGTTCACAGTGGTAGTGATAGGAACCAGGTGCAAAATTCCTAAGTCTGCCTAAGTCTTATCTGCTTTGTTGTCTTGGTTAGCTTCATTTAAGACTGAATTTTGGACAGAAGCCATTACAGAACAACAGTTCTTAAGTCTATCATGCTATCTCATTTCCAAGTAAGAAAACGGTATTACAGAAACATCCTAAGTTGCCAGTAAATTGTAAATTGTAAATGGTTTAAATGAGCATAAAGTTTATTATGTAATTTTACAAGTGCTCAATATGAACCTCCTTCAGCTGTACAGACATCAACGCCAAAGTCAAATTCATCCCATAGTCAATTGAGCATGTCGGGTGTCTCTGTAGTCACGGCTCTTTCAGTGCGATTTAGGAGATCATCCAGTGTTGTGGAACCAACGACGAACGCTCTGAGCTGTTGGAGGTTCACTGCCCACGGAAATCACGCTGCACAGATATGACTGACTCACTCTTATTGAAGTGGAGAACGCAGAACGCTTCCTGCTCAGGGGTCGCATCTCCTCACAGAGTGAAGGGAGCCTTCTTCCACTGACAGTCAGAAACTCTATGACCCCCCTCTTTCAATTGGATTGTGATTGGTTCCTAGGCACCTCAAGGTTGTAAAAATATGGCACTTTGAAATCGGATGAATTCTTTTTGAATCACCCTGCATATACGACCACAGCCTTTTATAGAAGAACCATTTATAAGGGTTTATTGTGCTGAAATGTCTATTTTATTTATGTTACTGTATTTGTAATCCTGCGGAAATAAATGCTAGGCTTCTCTGTAATGACAATTCACATGGATGTAGTCCCAATTTATACACTTTATAAATGGCTACTCTACACACCTCTGATTGTTGTAGTAGTGATTCACCCTCCCTGTCAGCAGCCATGAAACTGAATAGCTGTGGTTTCTCTTAACCACACAGTAACCTGCCTGTGCAACTGTAATCCCATTCTCCTCACTGTGGTTAGAGATTGTGACATAATGAATAAATAAAAAAAATAGCATGGCCTTCATGAACTGAATGCATAGTGTTAGATGAGAGTTAAGCTAAAGGTAAAGAACTTAAAGAACACTTAAAGAACGCTTCACATTTTTAAAGGGTTTTTTGCATCATGAAAGTGTTCTTCAGACGTTCAAGAGTGCACAGATTTGAAGGAAAAGGCTAAAGCAACAAGGCCTCGACTCAGTTTGTGTTACTTAAAAACATAAGAATGCAATATAATAAAAAGGGTAATAACAATGTCTGACAAGTTGTCCTGGACTAATTATTATCCTACACACTTAAAAAAGATGGTTCTTCAAGGGTTCTTTAGTGAAGAAAATGGGTCTACAAAGAACCACAAACACACAAAGAACGCTTGGCATTGTAAAAGGGTTCCTTAGATGGAGAGGAAAATGTGCTGTAGATGGTTCTATATAGAACTTTTTGAGGATTCTATATAGCACCAAAAAAAGGTTCTGCTATTGTTACAGTACAAGCTTGTTACAATAGCAGAACCCTTTTCAAAAAGGTTCCATATAGAACCATATGCTCTTAGCAAAAAGGGATCCAAAGGGTTCTTTGGCTTGTAACAGTAGTGGAACCCTTTTTGGTGCTATATAGAAATATTTTCAAAAAGGTTCTACATAGAACCATACATTCTTAGCAAAAAGGGATCCATAGGGTTCTTTGGCTTGTAACAGTAGTGGAACCCTTTTTGGTGCTGTATAGAAACCTTTTCAAAAAGGTTCTATAAAGAACCATACATTCTTAGCAAAAAGGGATTCATAGGGTTCTTTGGCTTGTAACAGTAGAACCCTTTTTGGTGCTATATAGAAATATTTTCAAAAAGGTTCTACATAGAATCATACATTCTTAGCAACAAGGGATCCATAGGGTTCTTTGGCTTGTAACAGTAGTGGAACCCTTTTTGGTGCTGTATAGAAACCTTTTCAAAAAGGTTCTATAAAGAACCATACATTCTTAGCAAAAAGGGATTCATAGGGTTCTTTGGCTTGTAACAGTAGAACCCTTTTTGGTGCTATATAGAAATATTTTCAAAAAGGTTCTACATAGAATCATACATTCTTAGCAACAAGGGATCCATAGGGTTCTTTGGCTTGTAACAATAGTGAAACATTGTTGGTGCTATATAGAAACCTTTTCAAAAAGGGTTCTACATAGAACCATTCTCCATCAATCTGAAGAACTCTTTCATGATGCAAAGAACCCTTTAATCATGCAAGGGGTTCTTTGTATTAATAGTATTAATAGTTCTTCAAGGGTTCTTTACTTAAGAACACTTGAAGAACCATCTTTTTTAAGAATGTATACAACACATTCTCTATCCATCTGAAGAACACTTTCAAAACCCTTTGCAAAAAAACCCTTTAAAAATGCGAAGCGTTCTTTGAGTGTTCATGGTTCTACATAGAGCCATTTTCTTTACCTTTAGCTTAACTCTCATCACTCTGCATTCAGTTCATGAAGGCCTTGCTAATTAGCTGATGAGCTGAATCAGGTGTGTTTTAACGAGGCCGTGTGGTGAAGTCTGCAGTGTTTTGGCCCACGAGGACTGGAGTCTGTCACATGTTCTAGTGTGATACATTAAAAAAGCATTTCAGTTTTCATTTTCATCTGCTTTATTTTTGTTAAAGTTCAGACTTTATACATTTAAACACCATCGTACAAGGGTTGAGGAAATGCTGTTACCTTCTGTTTCATGACACTGACTATAAAGCTCCTTCTGTGAAAGCTACCTGCTAGAATGTTCTTGTACATGGAGTCATTCATGTGGACTGTGTGTCTTTCTAAAAGCTGCATTTTTAAGAATACAGCTTGTCCTTTCAGTTACACATACTGTCCCATTTTTAGAACAGGAAGTTTAATCCACTGTCATCTCTACAGTTGTAGAGAAGGGTTTATCTGCCATTGTCTGCGCACGCATAACACAAGACTATTCATTTCTCTTAATGAGAAATGATCTATGTCATTAACGGTTTGCGCATCAGCCCATGATGCTGAAACAAGATCAAGTTATCATACCTTTCAGTCTTTTCGAACACAGCTTTAAAGGGGAATTCCAATTATTTTTCAAAATGTATTTGAAATCTTAAGATGTAAACAAATTCAGAGTGGTTTAATGTGAAATGCTCCATTCTAGAGAAACTTACAGAATTTTTCACATTAGTGGTGATCAGAACCAGACGTGCGTTTAATGGTTCTGAAGACATTGGCTGATATCAGAGACACTGTTTTATGGTAGTTTTGTTTTAAGGTTTTGGCCTAAAATGTATTAAAATCCATTCATGGCAAAGAGGTACATGCTGAGCATTGTAAGGTAAAATAGTCCTCTCCCTCCAAAAAAGAAAATGTCAGATTTACCACTAATTCCCCATTAACAACATTATATATACAAACTCAGAATACATGTGTAGATAGTGTGTTTTTTTAGATAGTAAATACAATGGTTGTATTGTGTTACAGACTTCAGAACAGAATCCTGGTTCCTATCACCACTGTTGTCAAGAAATCAAAGTCATTAAGGTTCTCCAGTGCACCATTTCACATGAAAACACTCTACATCTTAACAACTGAACTATGCAGAAATTTCCCTTTAAGCAAGTGACATCAAGATGTCTTGTCTTGTTTTGTCCCAGCAGTAGACTGAAGTCCTGGGACTGGTGAAGTGCTGCTGTTGTCTACACTAACCTGCTTTAGAGCTAACTTTTCTATTGGGATGGCTGCCACTACACTTGAGAGTGAACCTTGTGCAGGTAAGCTGGAATTTACAGAAGAAGATCCTTGAGTGGATGAAACGACTGCTGGAAGCTCAGCAGCAGTGCTTTGTGCATGTTCTGTAACAAGTGGTGGAACCAATGACACATTTGTAGCCTGTGATGTTACAGATGAAATGGCTGAATCTGCTGCTTGTATGACAGATTCTGACATAAGCGGCACTGCCGGTGCTGGAGCTGGTGACAGATTGATTAGTGTAGGCTCAGAAGTTGATGGTGTAAATGATACTGATCCAGCAAGTGCTTCTGTGCTCCCCACATGTTCAGCTGTAGATGAAGACACCATGGTTGTGGTCTCTGGTGTCCCTGAACCTCCAGCCAGTGGCTCCACTGGGGCTGCTACCTCTGCTGCCTTTGCTGTTTCTGCAGCTTTGCTCTCCATCTCCTCCATTCGCCGCTGCACCATCGCTGGCATCAACTTTACATACGTCCCCATGAGACGATGGTTAGAGCGGATTAATTTGCCAGCACAGCTGTCAACACAGTGCTCCTATAGGGGTAGAAAATCAAGACAACTAGTAAATGGTCCTGACCACTGAAGTACAGGATGAAAGGGGGATAACAAAGTATGCAGAGAAACAGATGGACTACAGTCTGTAACTGTAGAACCACAAAGTGATCCTATATGGTAAATGAAGGTGATAAAATGGACAATGAGTGTAAAAACAAGGAGGTGTACCTAATGAAGTGGTCAGTCAGTTTATGTATATTTAAGTGAATACACGTGCAAATGGTGAAAGCCTGACAAAGTAATGCAACATGCAGAGTATTAAGATTATCTGCAAGGATTTATGACAAGGGTTTTGGTATAACTTCATCTACCTATTTTTAATGTTTCTAAATTTTTATTTTAAAAGTAAAAAAAAAATTAATCTTGAGGAATTAAGTGCTAACCACCCACCCCCCTTAAATGGCCAAAAGCAAACTTTTCACACTTCAATAACCTAAGAATTATACACCAATCAGCCATAACATTATGACCACCTCCTTGTTTCTACGCTCATTGTCCATTTTATCAGCTCCTGTGGGCAGCGTCCTGTGAGCACTGATGAAGGACTACAGGATGACCAACACAAACTGTGCAGCAGCAGATGAGCTATCGTCTCTGACTTTACATCTACAAGGTGGACTGACAAGGTAGGAGTGTCTAATAGTGTGGACAGTGAGTGGACACAGTGTTTAAAAACTCCAGCAGCACTGCTGTGTCTGATCCACTCGTACCAGCGCAACACACACTAACACACCACCACCACGTCAGTGTTACTGCAGTGCTGAGAATGATCCACCACCCAAATAGTGCCTGCTCTGTGCGGGTTCATGGGGGTCCTGACCACTGAAGAACAGGGTAAAAGGGGGCTAACAAAGTATGCAGAGAAACAGATGGACTACAGTCTGTAACTGTAGAACTACAAAGTGCACCTATATAGTAAGTGGAGCTGATAAAATGGACAATGAGCGTAGAAACAAGGTCATAATGTTATGCCTGATCGGTGTAAGCTTTTTTATGTAATAAACCAAGGATTTTAAGGGGTTATTAAAGGAAACAATCACACAAATGTTAAGTGCAGAAGACTGCTGAAGAAAAATAAAACAGTGATTAAGAGGTAAAGAGCAGGTTTACCCTGCACACTTGTACCCTCATCAGCCACTTAACTACAGGTTTACTTTAACTGTACAGCCCATCTGTTGATGCACGATGTGTGTTATTCATCCTGTGTCCCTTCATTAGTCAGTTTTTGACCACAGAGCCGCTCTGGCCTGGATATTTTAGGGCAGTTTGTTCCTGACAACAGATACAACTGATAGGCTACAGTCTGTTAATGTTCTCCTGTCTGTATAGTGGAGCTGTAACACATAGCTACAGATATGGGTCTCAGAGAAATGCTAGTGGCTGAACATGCAAGGTGGCTGTTTTTAATAATTCCCTTGTTGAAATAAAGGCTTGTTCTTCAGGACTATGACCCAGATAGCTCAGCAGTCAATAACAGTAATGAGTAAATAAGTAGTAGTGTAGTGAAGTGGTGATTGACTTAACTTACTTCATCCATTGTAAGATTTCTGTAGTTGAAATTAGTTGTGCAGCGCTGGAAACAGATCTCCGTCATTCGGTTATAAACCAGAAGAAAATCGCGAAGCTACAAAGCACGAATGTAGAAAAAAAACAATATTAGAAAAATTACAAATGCAGAAAACAGACCTGAGATTCAGAGGTACAGAGACCAACACTGCCTTCAATCCACTTACATTTCGTAGTTGTCCGTCAGGATCCATGACGATATACTTTACAATATGTACACAATTAAAAACGAGCAGAAGCTAATATTCGCCTGTTTTAGACACTTCCTTCACGAGCTGCTTAAAAAACGACGCTGCTGACAAGCTGTAGCATGACTTTCACAAGAGCGCGGCCATGTTGAAATCACGTGACCAGGCGACTCGCAACGTAATCCATACGTCACCGAGTTGATTTACATTTTCTTTAAAAGATTTTTTTATTTTTTATTTTATGGACTTTTTTTAATCGTAAATTGTTTTTAGAATGACTATATTAGCAAAATGGTTCTACAGGCATTAATCCTAAATCAATAAAGTAACAATGCAACAGTAGATTAAACGCAATTCCTGTTGTTCAAATATATGAAGAAATAATATATTGGATATATGATTGAAACTGTTGTAAAACATAGAGCAATATAGTTAATAATAATAATAATAATAATAGTAGTAGTAGTTTTCATACAGGTAGCAGTTCAAAATACTTTGAGCTGTTAAAGCAAAATGCTTCTGAAGCTGTAGGAGACAACAACAACAACAACAATAATAATAATAATAACAATAATAATAATATATATATATGGGACAGTATGTGTAAGGGACAAGGACAAGCTGTATTCTTAAAATAAAATATATATTTATATAGTTTATACGGTGGCAGCTCAAAGTGCTTTACAGACAGGTGATAAAACATAGTTATACAAGAAATTGTTAGTATTTATTTAGAATCGCAAGAAAATGAAAAAGATCAAATTAGAAGATAAACACCATGAGACGTGGAGTTTTCATTAAATGCTGAGTTAAAGAGAGACGTTTTTAGATGCTTCTTGAAAGTGAGCACTGAGCTTGACTGTCTAATAAAAGGTGGAATTTAGTTCCACAGTTTAGATGCATTATAACTGAACAAGGCCTCTCCATGTTTTCTGTATTTTACAGAGGGTATTTGTAGAAGGCCACTATCTGCAGATCTTAGATTACATGTCGGAACATAAACAGACAGACACTCTGTGAAGTAAGCAGGTGTTTTAGGTTATTTTGAGCTTTAAAAACCAGTAGCAGAACTTTAAAACCTATCCTGAATGATACAGGCAGCCAGTGCGGGTCTTCTAAAACAGGAGCGATATGATCTCTTTTTTGTTTTTGTTAGGATGCAATGGATGAACTAGCTGACATTCTGATTACACGTTTAAAGTGAAGTTTTTCTTTGGGTTAAACTTGCTATATTCATTAGCTAACAATAACTAGCACTTCTAAGTGTTTAACAATAGCTTAAAGGGAAACTCCACCAATTTTTCAAAATGTCTGCATTATTAAAGAGAACTCATTCAGAGTGGTTGGTGTTAAATGCTTTGTTCTAGTTAAACCAGAATTGTTTACAATGGTGGTGATAGGAACCAGACGTCTACCTCTAAAAGCTCCCCCACAGAAAGTTATTACATGAAATTGTTTTGAACACACTGCCAGATGTCTGACACATCTGAGACGTTGCTTTACAAAGGTTTTGTGATAAAAAATGTATTTTAATCAATTTATTTTAATCCTTTCATCAAAATAATGGTGGATGAATACATGAAGGGTGTTCTAAGACAAAATAATCCCCAAAGAAAACTTTTTATTTCAGATTTTTCGCTATTTTACCATCATCAACATTTCATATAAAAACTCAGAAGACACATACAGGTTCACAGGTGATTTTGGGTAGTAAATAAAATGGCTATATTTGTGTAATAGACATAGTTCCTATCTGCTGTCAAGAAACCTGAGTCAAGTTTCTCTACAAGTGAAGTGTTTCACATCAAACCACTCTTAATGTTTTATCTTACATCCACTGAATTATGCAGACATTTTGAAAAATCGCTGGAATTCCCCTTTACTGTTTTGCACATTGCTATTAAAGAGTTTATAGCCACCAGAAATGCAACCCAATGAACAGAACCATCATCCAACCTTCGTTTTGTTTCTACAGTGCAGCTCCTTTTAATGAGAAAAGTGATGGTTATTATGATTCATGGTTTAGGGCCTGTTAATACATCTGCATGTTCCACATCTTGATAGGGTGCATGCAACAATGTCATAGTGATCTCTTATCTTTTATGTCACGTGAGTGACTAGAATGCCTTTGATGTTTTGTCATGTAAGTTGGGTGCTAGTGGAGGTTCCTTACAAGGTAAGCAATCTTAGTATGAAGCTTTTAGGTACAGTTTTACTGCAAACAGACGGATCCTCTACCTTTGCTTACTGTCACTTTATAATTTAGAAACATTTAAATCATCTTTTCACTTTTGATATGGTGTGATTTCTTATAATTGCTTATGAGGTCTGTACTGAGATGATTCATATACGAGAGCCACAACAACATAGGTGACAGCATGCAAGACCAACTAGATAAAAGGAAACAATACAAAGTTACTTCTGAATGTGAGATTTAATTAAAATGCAACTTAAAAAAACAAATGTAATAAAAGTTAAATATATCTACACATACATTAACTTCCAACATGCAAAGAATCACAGGCTTGTGAACTTAATAAAATGTAGAAGACTTGTAAATTAAATGGAAAATGTAAATTAAATTAAACATTTAAACATTAAACATACACTGAAGTCACACTGCACTCACAAATACTCAGATTAACAGACTGGAAACACATTCACAAATACTCTTTAAACAACCTAGGAACAGTTTCATAGCACTCCTTCGAACGAGAACATCAGTTCCATCTATTGCATCAGCACATATATTGTGAAAAGTATGTCCAGTGGAAATTATGAACACACTTACATTAAGGCAATTCAGAGCACGTTTTCCTTAGTGCAGCATTAAAGTAGTTTTCCACAGAATCAACATTTCATGCTTGTCAAATCACTTAGTTAACATACTATTAATGATGGTGCGGGGTGGCAGCTGTCCTTTCATTGTTCTCTGTGATCATTTATATAATATATGTATTACATAATTCATGTATCATATAGGGTTTTTTTTTTGGAATGACTTTAATGGCAACAAATGTGCTTAGACTTCCAATAAAAGCCTTTATATTGTCTTTTACAGAGACATTAATATGCAGTGCTGTGCAAAAGTAAAAAGCCGTTTAATTGGGCAATAAGACTTTGTTGCTCAGAAAAACTCTAATATTAGGATAAACTCAAAATTGTTAATACATAAGTAGTGATTTATGTATGTCAATGTGTTTGTTTAACCATTTTCAAACTTCTCCTCATGGCAGCCCAGTATTATTATACAGCATTAATCCTTCATTAAATTAAATCAGGAGTGCTGCTGATAGAATTGATCAAATCTCTGCACTTTCTGGGGAAATCGAGGTGAAGTTTAGAACCAAACCGCTCATATATGTACTACTTTATCTTCAACGAGAAAGTCTTGTTACATTTTACTGTATTATTGTTTGTTTGTATTTATTGTAATAGTATAGAGTGGCTAAATAAGCAAAAACACACCTATTGCCCAGATAAGCTAATTGAACTTCAGTTGAATGTTGTGGTGATCAGCTTGTGTATGAAAAACAAACGCATTCAGAGGTGATTTCCACCTTGTGACGTCAGTAGACAACACAACTACCTTAGCCTTGCACAATATCCTCCAGGTGTCTGTTACTGCACATTATTGCACCAGCCGATTGCAGAGATCACAACAGAGGCATGAAAGGATTGCAGAACCCCATTTACATTTATGTTTGCTCGGGCATTTATACAGTCGTATGCAAAAGTTTGGGCACCCCGGGTCATGTTTTGTTGTTTTGACACATCCTCTACAGAGAGTCTAGTTCTGCATATTTTAATACACAACTATGGTTTATTTGCTGAGTTTAACGTATTGGAATAAAAACATAAAATGTGGACTGGATATGTTATATTTGATTTCTTTTTCCAATATATTAAACAAATAAATAGAAACTGCACACTAAAATTAGCAGAAAATGTCATATTGTACGACTAAAGTATGTTTCTATGGGCCAACATCTCATACAGACTCATGTCAGATGGCTTTGTTAAAGCACCCAAACACATTTAACGTTATAACGTTTGTGTGGCTTCATGTTCGAAAAACAGTCATACCTCATTTCTGCACGACCATTTCCAACCTCAACCTCTTTTTTTAAGACTAGAATATCGCTGCTATCGGAAGAAAACCTTGTATCTCCAATTTTTTGTCGTTTTTCAGTTTTTGATGTAATTTCAAAATGATTGTTGGTCTTTACATTGTATGTAAATTTCATGAAGAATGGACCAAAAGACACAGCCCAAAATGACATGGAAACAATTCTGGTTCCATTGACTTACATTACAAGTAAAGTAGGTTTTTTCCTTCTCCTGTAAAGTTACCATTCTGGAGATATAAGGTTTCTTCCGACAACAGTGGAATGAGTAAGTGAGTTCTGTTCTGATTGGCTATTGCACCACATTCGAAAAGCAGTCTGGGCTGAAACCCTCCTTATAACCCCAGTGTGAGTGGGCGGGGCTAAACTGTTGTAGGCTGAATAGGCGGAAACAGTAAGCCAAAGATTGGGCACAAGACATGTTTCATTATTTTTCTAAGTGAAAATAAGTCACACGTCCTCTACAGAGAACACAGTTCTGCACATTTAAATACACAGTTACTGTTTATTTACTGAATTTAACATATTGGGGAAAAAAGAAAACATAAAATCTGGCCTGTGCAAAATTTATGGCACACTTTATATTTTATGTTTCATTTTTTTCCAATATATTAAATTCAGCATATAGAAACTATGCACTAATATTTGCAGAAAAGTGTGTTCCCTGTATAAGATGAACTTATTTTTACTCAGACAATCAACAAAAAAACATGTAGCTTGACCAGCTTGTTCACACTTTTGCATACGGATGTTTGTAATCACTCACACGCACAACAACCTGTTTAAATGCTGAGCAGCATAACTGGCCATTCTGATGAGTCCACTTTAGGACTTTTTACATGCTCTTCGGTCTCTAGTTGTTCTGCTCATGCCTCAGCTCTGATTGGCCAAAGCTGTGCTCATAGTCGCCATGCATGTTCCTTATCTCCATCTCTCTCTCACGATTGCTTCTTCTTTCCCTCTCTCGTTCTCTCTCCCTCTCCTCTGTCTCCAGTGCTACTTGGTGGCTGTTGAGGTAGATGCTGTTGCGGGACATCATGAGGCTGCTGGAGCGGGACGGCAGGGCCACCTCGCTGTCTGCGTCTGCCTCCAGGCAGTTCTGCTGGGCCATGGGTGGAGGATAAGTCTGGGCCTGATGGGTCTGGCCCTGTTTCTGCTGATACTTTCGCTTCTTCTTCCGCTTCTGAGCCACACTTAAATCCAGAGAGGCATAGGAGATGTCAGCTGGCTCGTCCTGGGAGAAAGAGAGGATTCAAAGGTGAGACGTTACCATTCGCAAACTCGTATAGATGAAGGTTCCATAGAGTTTTTGGAGTGATGCCAAAGAAGAACCACTTTTAATTCTCTGTAGATCTGTTAATGACGGTTCTTTGAAGAAGTACCTTTTTGTAAAAGAGATGTGTGCATGTCAAAAACCTTTTTAAACTCCACATAATGTCAAGGGTTTTTCTGTTTTTTGAGAATACAAGAAAATTCCAATTATACAGAAAATGACTGTTTATCCTGTAAAATAACAGCAGTAAAAAGTAAATGTAAACTGTTCTTTACTGTTAGTAAGTATTTGTGTGTAATTTTGCTTGCTGTTCTATGTTACCTCGGAAGACCCTGACAATTAGAAACATTCTGTAAAGGCCAAAAATTAGATATATTTTCTCATCATGTTGCAATGGTGTAAAAAGGGTTAAGTATAATCTAATTCTTAGGTTTTACAGATAACAGCTAATCCGTTAAGCATGAATGCACTGTAAAAAATGAAAAGTCAACTCAACTTAAAATTATAAGTCAACTTCACACAACTTCTCACAGTGCCTTCTGAGTTAACTCAGCCTGAGATCACCTAAAATTTAAATGTGAAATTTCTCCCAACTCACATTTTTACACATTTTTAATCTTGCGTCATATATAGTTATAGTTATATTGGCTATATTTACACCTCCAAGAGGTTTAACTGTCTAAGCTTGCTCCACTATTAGGAGTTCATGGATTCAAGCCTCAACTGGCATATATATATATATATATATATATATATATATATATATATATATATATATATATATATATATAAGTCAGACACAAATAAATTAGGTTGAATTGCAAAACTTAGATATTTAAGTTTATTAAGTTTCAAGTATTTTATGTTTTTTACTAGTATCAAGGCAGATTGTTTAAGTTTATATTTAATTTTTTGGTTAAGTAAATATTTTGGTTAAAGTTTAAGTTTAAAGTTAAGTAAAATTATCATTTTTAACCAATATTTATCTAATTCATTGTTCAGGTTAAAAAAATGCCAAATAGGTCACCAAATTTAAGTTCAATCAAGGATGGAAAATACTTAAGTAGTTGTACTGAAGGATTGTACTTAATTATTTTTAAAAGATTAAGTGTTAATTTGGAAGCTTATTAAAATTAAATTTTTCTTTGTTTACTCAATTTTATTTCCAAGAGAAAAACTCATCACAAGCTGAAGTTCAAATTCCAAAACTTTAATAAAAGGCCAGGATTTCTCTCTTGCTAGTCAGTCAAGGTCTTGCCCATTTGATTGTATTGTTCTTATTAAAACATCCAACCAAATTCATATCATTGTAGAATGCAACTATGCTAATTTATTTGCACGCAAGAACTAGTAATACCGGTTGACACACTGAAACTTTTCATTAAATTTGATAACAATTAAGTCAAATAATTGAATATGTTTGAATGCAGACACATTCTTTCTTTCACTCAGTTAAAACATGTAAACGTTTTTTTTTTTTCTGCTCCACATTTTCACTCATACACATTTTCTCTCCAATATTGCTTCATGATTTGCAAGTTGCTTTTTCAAACCCTCTTGCATCTTCATTGGATAAATCACATGGTTATAAAACAAATGACTGATAATTTTATATTTGCAGAAATATCTGCCGAATAACAATCAGTGTCATTAAAATAACTGCTCCCAGTGACAGCATTCACGTTACTGAGCACTGCAAACGTCAAAGGGTTCCATCATTGGGAAATGGTAAGCTTTGATCCCAGTGATGCCATCTGTAGGTAGGGGACCTAGTGAGTGTTAGCCGCACCATGTGATGTAGTCCTAGCTAGCGGGTATGGATTGGCCATAACTAAAAAGGTAATTTACGGAAAGTAATTTACGGAAATTACTGTTATATAACAGATTTCTACTTGCAATTGTTTTTAGTTAATCAATTAATTTGTTTTTATCAATGTAGAACTAAAAATCATAACTAAAAATAAGCTAAAAATCATGCAGGAATCTTTATTTTTAGGAGTTTTCCCTACTTAATGATCAAAACACATAATCCCCACACATAATTATCTATTCCCTTACTGTAGACCAGCCTGTGTTTCTCTAGAACGCTGTTGGAGAAAATTTTTTATCTTGATCTTGATCTTGATCTTGATCTTGATTGAACACGTTAGTGTGTCATTCCATTGAAGTAACATGTAAAAACAACAATGCTTTTGAATAAAAGCACCCAAGCGAATTATGATTGAGTTAAACAGAACACAACTGTTACAAGAAGAATAGAGTAGAAATATCTCTCTATATCTTCTGTGTTCTAGAAACCACATTGCATATTTGTAATTTACTGGTCTATTTGCACAATTTTGGCAATTTTTAACTCCAGTAAAATTAAAAAAATATTTAGGTGTCTGTGATGTAAATTCATCCTCAAACCTCAGGAAGCTTTACGTATCTAACGTAGACCACATAACGGCCCTAAGAACTATTTTGTGCTGTACTAAAAAATGCAAGTTCAGTGTGTTTGGAATAAAATGTGAATTTTCTTTTTGTTAAACTATTCTTTCAAAAGGCGGCTGGTGCGTTTCAGATTGTTATCATTTCTTTGCAGACTAGTGCATCTGAAGTGCTTTTATACACCTCTGAGTTCATGATTTCATCAATGACCAAAGTTCACTGACACCATTGTGAGAAAAACAGTCCCAGACTTTGGCGTTTCCACTGTTGTGCTTCACAGCACTCTTAGTGTCGTCTGGTTGGAATTCTCCTCAAAGCTTCTTCACAAAAGCCTGCTAAAAGCCAATTCATGTTGTCCTAAAAGTTTTTTTTTCTCTTTTTTTTTTAAACAAATATTATGTTAAATATTTTCTGTAGTAACCTAAAGAACTTCACAAGTTGACCAATGGTACCATGGTTCAAAAAGTGTCCAAATACTTTGGTCATTGTACATACATTGGGGTCTAGGGGTCGATAAAGCTTCTATTTTACACTCTTTTCTAATTTCATTATATAGTTTTTATTACACATTATATTATCAGCAGAACAATTTGAGTGAAAGGTAGGATCTTTGGAAGATTTACATGAATTTTAGAATTTTTTCTTTAATATGTTTAGAATGTTTTATGCCCCTCTTTTGCTTTAATGACAGCATGCAGGTCAAATAATGTCTAATAAGTTGATTAGCCTAACTTGTGGTCATGGTCAGTGCCAAAAAATTGCTTAAATTTGAATAGTGAGCTAAAAAATAGTGCAAAATCATGAATTTTTTTTTTACTTCGTTTTACCCTTAATAACATTTCTTTTAAGTATTTCCAGGTTCAAATAAAAGAAAATAAATCACAGATTTTCAGTGTGGTCTCTTGGGCTGCACTGTACATTTAATTTTACTGCTGATATCTACAGTTTAGATTTGCTTTTGTGCTAATATTTGGCTTTAAATACTTTAACTCCTTAAGCTCTGTGAGTCTGTATGTGGGACCAGACTTCAGTTACCCAAAGCTCCAAAACTTACCCTTTAGTTTCTTATCTTACAGGTTAGTCTAATAACTGAATATTAAGCCTCTGTCAAATACTTTCACTTTAAGAGCAATATTTCCTCAAATAAAGCAGGTATTTGACTATAAGTACTTCATTAATACATTGATGTCATGAGATAAACTTGTTTCTGCAAAACCGTAACTTTAAAAAAAAATTTAATTAATATGCATTAATGCAACAAGATTTTATGCCAAGCCATTGTGGACCATTTCACTTGTTCTACTTCTCAAGATACTTTAATATAATGTATAAAACATAAAACTCCAAACGCTTTGGCATTATGACTTAGCCCCATGCATGTTTCTAAAGGCTTTGCTTGTTGCGCGGTGGTCTAAGAGCTCAATACCACAGCAGCGGTGTGAAATCGATGTGAAGTATCTCTGTGCATGTGGCTGCTTTCTTTAAAACGCGTGGGATGGCCTGCTTAAAATAGTTACTTGGCTTTCAATACAAAAAAAACGATTGCTACAAAAAGTGCTTTGCTCCACATCGCAAATATTTTAAGCTAGGTAGACAAAATAGTGCTCAGGCTTAAGAGGCTAAGGCTGTAGGGCAGCATTTTTAAGACCACCGGACCATTTGAACCATTTTCGTTTGGTGTGTGCGCGAGGGTTTAGACAGAGTCTATTACAAAATAAATCTGCTTGAGGACCAAGATATTCACAAAAGCCCCTTTAGCTGCTTCTGTTCTACTTTCAAGACTCTCCTAAAACACTAATTGAGAGACTATTATCATTCATAGTATTTGCTAACAGGAATTCAGACAGTTTCACAGTGTTGCGATAGTTAAGTCAGTCAGTTAATACCTGTTCATCTCGTCTTGCGCTTTGGTTTGACCTAGGCACAAAGCCCCCATAATCGACTGTCCTCACAGGTCCTGTACCAAAAAAAAAGGTAATGGAAAAATCTTCAAAGCATTCGCCTAATGGACGTACAGTACTGTGCAAATGTTTTTACAGTAACTCTAAGCATTATTTGCTAAAAAAACATAATATTATAAACAAATGATATGCCTTTAACACAATAAGTGGTTGTAGTAGTTTTATTAATTTTCACTGTCCTGAAAAAAAAAATAGTAACTTTACAGGAGAAGGCAAAAATGTTCTAAACTTATAATGTAAGTTAATGTGAAGAAGTTTAGTTCCAGGTGATTTTGGAGTATTTCCATTGGTCTATTCATTTAAATTTTCACATAATGTAAAGCACAGCGAATGATGTCAAAAAATCAAATTTTTTTGGACAGCAAAAATATGCTAATTTGTTTATGTAACACTTTGCAATATAGACTTTTCTAAGCTTGTAGATATGTGCTTTGGAACACTAACTAGTCCTACAGCGCAACACGAATGGCAGTATGAGATTACAGTCTTTCAGTTGACTGAAGATTTTTTTTGATCAGTGCTAAATAAAAGAGGGTACTTGAATCGGTCAGCTAAATTTACCTCCTACTTCTGTACAGATGTTCCCATAAATAGGATTCTCTTGACTGCGCCGTTCCTCTTCCTGGAACCTGTGAGATCATTCAGAAAAATATTTGCCATATATATTTTATATAAAATTTACTGGTAATTTATTCTGTATTCCAGCCGCGTGTGCACCAGAACCGTACAGCCATTCTTCACGTATCAATGCCCGAACTGTAATGCTGAAAAACATGCTAAGATAATAAGGACAAAAAAACTGCAGAGATCCTACCTGTCAACAGGAAAAGAATCAGGGTACAGTGGCTCCTCCACATCTATAAGAAAGGCCATATTACATGAATGGATTTGTGTTATTTTGTCAATATGCTGGAATTCAATACAAAAATAGATGCTGATCACTAACTATTAACTCTTCTATGTAACACCATTGTATTGACAATTCACAGCACCTGCCAGGCAAAAACGTACTGTAACCACTATAATGATACAGTAGGGAAAGTGCATGTCACAGTGGTCATCGTACTCATAAATGTTTAAACTTCAGAAAGTTAGAAATCTGGTTACCTTAAAACTTTGAGTTAATTGAAATGAAGTTAACAGAATGTTAAACTCATATTATTATTCTGTTAGTTTACTATTAGAATCACAATAAACTCAAAGGCATCCAGTTTACTTTCTGAACTCAAACACTGAATCTTTTTTTTACAGTGCTGCAATGCTTTTATGCAAACTTATCTCTGATTACTGACTGCTTATTGTTTTGATGTTCATAAATATAGACCAACGTGTAACATACCTCTGCTCTGTCTCTCTCGTCTTCTCAACCAATACAGCAGTACGTTTAAAGATACAGATATTAGCAGTGCTAGGCATGTCAGTACCAGACCTGTGTAGGGTCCCGTGCAGTTTCCTAAAAAGGATAAAAAGAATGGCCATATTTCTAATATTGACTGTTTTGTTTTGTGTTAATGATAAAATGCATACAAGCCAGTTTTATATATATTAGCAAAAATAGTTTTTCCTCCAAATAAGCAAAACATGAGAGATAATGAAAGATATTGACTTCCATTGTAAAATAATAATAGGTGAAAGTTAAAATAGTATATAAAATGTACCTTGTATGATTTTAAAAAAGTTGTATTTCAACATAAAATATCAAGTTTTGCTAATAGGAAAGACATATTTAGTAAAAAAGTCATCCTTGCTTCCACATACATTAACTACGCTACACGTGATTGTACGGTACTGTTACTCATGACTTCCACTTTAGTTAAATTTCGTCATATTTTCAAAATGATTCAATTTCTAAGAACAGTGTACGGTAAAAAAATGAAAAAATGCCTTTAGAACACTATGCAACATTTAAAGATATACATTACTTCCTCCATATTGGAGAACGCTCAATCAGTAAAAGCAGTTAACAATGATCTAGTTTGAAGCGGAGCGAGCTCGGTAAAAAGCAGTTTTTGGGGAAATATATAAAAAAAAAAACCTGCTTTTACCTGACATTGTTGATTGTCCGCTCTTCAGCCGTCCGTTTCTACAGAAGCCCTAGCGGTGTCTACGCATGTTCTTCAAGAGGTACACCATATCTGCTTCTATTTTTACAGTCTAGCGTCTTTTTCGGTTACAAACAGGAAATCTGGTGGATACCTAATGCAAACGTTCACGTCACCTGAAGACACAATGAGTCTCTCAGTGTAATGAGCCAGAGTACAACTGGGTTTCGAACTTTTAACCTCCATCATTTACTGCAGAAAATCCATACTGGACTCCTACATTTATTAAGGTGTTGTCTTGTTGATATTTTTGTTTGTTTGTTAAATCTGTTGTCCCTCTGCTCAGTACATTTAATTTACACTAAAATAAAGAAACTGAAAGCATGTTTTGCTTTTTTTTACATTTGAGCTCTGCAGTCATGATCATCTCATCACTTTCATATGCAAATAATAGTTGATAAACACTTTCCTGAGAGCAGTATTTATAAGACTACACCATGGGCCTTTCATAAGTGATATAAACCTGTATATCACTGTTGTTGGAAGAAAACCTCGTATCTCCAAAATGGTAACTTTACAGGAGAAGGAAAAAACTTGCTTGACTTTTAATGTAAGTCAATGGAACCAGACTTTTTTCCATGTCATTTTAGGCCATTTCTTTTGGTCCATTCTTCATAAAATGTACACACAATGTAAAGAGCAACAGGCATTTTCAAATTATGTCAAAAACTGAAAAAAATGAGACAAATGCTCAAACAGCAGCGATAAACATTTGAAAAGGACTTTTTCCAACCAATGTTATTTTGAAAAAGGCTGCTTTTGCTACTTTTGGTCTCATTTCACCTCAACAAGTGTTATGACAACCATGGGCCTGCCTAGAATGTACCAACATCAAGGGTTGAGCCCGTGGCCCGTATTACATGGTCACATGGTTACAGAGCCAGTGCTCTAGATTCCATAGTGACTCTACTATAGACTGTAAAAATCAGTTTAAACTATAAACATAACAATACTTTTATCTACAAAAGAATGAAATGAATTTATAATTATGAGCTGATTAAAAATAAACACATATGTATCTGCTGGTACATCCATATAAAAACATAAAAAATATGCAAATTACATTAGTTTGTGCAGTCTCTCTCTGTACCTTTGCACCAGCTCCCACCTCCTCTACTGTTTCCATTGCTTGTATGGTCAGCTCTCTCTCAGCTCTTTTTATGGTAAACTCCTCTCCAACCTCTTCTACCTTTTATTGCTGCAACATTTAATTAGTTATTTTAAAGTGACAATACTATTAGCATTAGCATTAGCATTACATTGAACTGAACTGCATGTGTAATTTTTACCTGACTGTAAATAAATATCTGTATGAACTGGTACCCTAGCTGATCATAACTCAAATGACCACCATATATAACTTGAATTATATATTCTTAAGTTACACAGCGCAATCAGAAAAGGTAACAATTGCACAGTGTGCCAACATGAAGTGAGCATGATACTTAGCCACCTTGGCTTAATGATGCCAAAACAAGATGAAGCTGAAATTGGCTTCTTTTTCACCAAGTGCGTGAATGTTACTGCTGCACCCTTTAAAGTAGAATGGAAAATTGGAATAAGAAGCGAATGAGAAACCAACTTAAATAAGAAAACCAAACATTAACAGTAGCCAGCCTAACACTAAAGCCAACCAGTTCAGTCTACATTTTGGCTGCTACCTAAATAAAAATGTAACAATTTTTTTTTCAGTAATCTCAAAAGTTTGTAAAATTACAGTCATTTAATTTCTCAGAAATACTGCCTTTTACTGTAGTTCAATAGTTTCACTAGTTGAGCTATTTATTGTAGTAGTAACATTAGCAGTCATTAAAATAAATGCAAATGTCTGTGAAATAAAGGTGATTATTTGTTTTTATAAAACAAATAATTCTATTTCTGGAAACATAACAGCAGCAGTGTTAAAATACAATATATGTACAGGTAATTTACATGTAACCTTAGTTTTAAAAAAAACAGGAGTTTACCATTAAATTGTACAGTACTTTAAAACTGAAAGTACTTTTTTTGTTAGCAAGAATGATTATATATTACAAGCTGTCATATTATCACTAATGGTAACATGACAGTGTTATATAACTGAACCAAATCTGACATGACACCTCATGACATCATTTGACATCTGGCTGTTACATGTTTATGATAAAGTTATGCAGCAGGGTTCGAGTAAACTGCTGCTGACTGCTTTTCTCAAAGTGTTCACTCTTATTGAATATCCCACACTGTAATGCATGCATTGATGCAGTTGTGTATGCTATTTGGAAATACACAGAAAATCTATTTTAAAAAATGGAATTATATAAATAGAAAAATATATAGAATAATAGGTTAGAGTTCATTGCAAACTACCAAAAACAAATTAAGGCCATTTTCCAATATGTTATGGCTCACTGAAATGTAATCAACACTGCATAACAAAGACCATATATTGGTACAGGGCCTTAACGTTTTGTAGATGTTTGCAGTGAACCTGTATTTGTAGAAGCAGCGTGCATTTCCATATAACAGTCTTCCACAACTGAGTCAATAGAAAGAACTTTAATAATATAAAGTATATTTTCATATGGCACATTCCTAGTTGTTTAGGGTTTGCAGGATGTACGCACAGTGAGGAGTCTGTGAGAATCGATTTTTCTTTTTTTACTTTTTAATTTTCCATTTCCGACCACAGGGGTGAGGGCAGGAAACGTCCTTCTGGGTAAACTCGTATCTGCTGTTTTAGTTACTGAACCACAAGGCACAAAACAGTCTCACATTCTCTAACAATACACATGGGCTAGAGTATGCATGCGTGCAGTTTCCCTCTTTGGCTCGCTCTCTCTTTCTGATATCTGTCAATACTTTGTGGATGTCCACAGATGTATATATATTGTGAGCACCTACAACATTTTTTTTTTGCAGCTAAATGTAACCTAAACCTTAACCTCAATAACCAAAAAAAGACAGTTTGGCTTCTGTGTAAAGTTTGGTTTTTGTGTTAGAAACATTGTTGTGGAAACTGCCAGTATTTTCCCACAATCTCAAAATGTTAATTTTGTTATCTACCATATTCCTGCGCCCCATGATGGTTTGAGTGACTTATGGACAGAACATCCAGCAGGATATAAACAGCTTTTGTAATGATGTTAGTAATCAGAACCTGAAGCTATAGCCTACACAAAATACTTACACCGATAAAGTCATTTAATATCAACTTTTTAATTTTAATTACTTTTTTTGTTTACAACAGCCATAAACCCATAAAACAATGGGACAATGCCATTACATAGCAGTTTTTAACCCCTTAAATGGCCAGGGCCCACAGAAGTCCCTGTAGTTATGGAATAATAAGCCTGGGATTTTGTTGTTAATGGCCGCAGATTTCAATAATAACAACTGGGCTTTTTCAAGCAGTGATTATGAAGCCACATTCATTGGTCCTTTGAAGCACCGCGCTTTCGTGAAAGGTTTATGCTCGTAACATTCCCATTCTTGCCACATTTTCAGCTGTAGTGACCACCACAAACTGCGCTTTTCCCAAAACGTGCCAGAAATGTTTAGTGGGACATACAACAATAATTCAACAAGTAAGCACACAATCCTTGACTTAGTTAAAACACTTATGAATGGCGCTTTGTTCCCAACTGGATATTTCCACCATAATCTCGAAATGCAGTGGTCATGTAAAAAATACGGTGGATATAATTATTTTGACATTTTTAATGTCATAATACAAAGATCACAATAAACAGAATAAAACATAGCACATACATACAATCTACCTAAATATCATTGCTGGTATCTTTACAGGAGAAGCCAAAAACATTCTTGACTTTCATTGTAAGATAATGTAACATTATTACATCATCACTGCAGATAGCTGTCTATTATTCCTACACTGAATTTGTGTTCATTCTCACTGAGGCTTCTGAGCCATCCCAGATAGCAATCCAGTTCTGGCCCATACTTATTACTTTCATCTGGCTCATATACCGCTATGGAACTATGGCAATGACTGATGTCATTAACTTACTATTCAGTGTTTACTGAACACAAAATTTAGCTGTAAATCATTTTAAACCAATTTGAATTAACTTTAACTAGGGTATTTGATAGTGATTCTAGTTGTGAGGTAGATTGGACTACCTTTTCAACATACTGCCATATTTCTGATAGATTTAAGGGCCAAATAAGCATATTTTAATGTGGGCCACTTTTGGCTCACATGCACTTTGCTAGCAATGCCATACGTTTGCCAGAAGCGGTCCTCATCCACAAGATATCTGGGATGTTGCCATTGTTTTAGTACTAGCAATACTTCTAAACATGCATGGGTGGTCTTTGCTCTTGGCAAAGATAGGCAGCTGTCTAGGGCCCCTATAAGCTAAGAGGTCTGTGAAGATAGAAATCAGATATACTGATGTTACACAATCTATCCCAACATGTATACATTTTGAAAATAGCTGTTATATTTAGTGGTTTACTTATTTTGCTTGCATCATGTAAATTCTTAAAATAAGCAAAATTCTGTGCAAATATAGTGAGTAGTTTTACTTAATAAATTGACTTAAAACAGGTAAAAAAGTGTCTAGAAATAAGTTAAATAATCTTACAGCAATCTTACAATGAGAAATATTAGCTATGTTGACCAAATTTGAGAAGATTTTACTTTCCAAGGCGTTATTTTTTGCAGTTTTTTGTGGTTGCACCACTCATGGCCCCAGAGCCTCAACTAATATGAAACTATGCATCCTGAAGGCCCCATTCCTATTTTTGTCTAGAGCCCCAGAATCACTAAATCGACCCCTATAATCATGCATGGGGACATACCAGAGCAAAAGCATGACAAGGCAGACAACATTTCTTCATTCTTTGTTGGTTAAATGCTGTGAATCTGTATGATGCTCAGCTGACCCGTCACAGAAAGGAAACAAGCTGTCTCTGTTGGTCACTCTTTCTGATGTGGTTTGCTTGGTTGTTTTTTTTTTGTCATCTTTCACCATCTGAGGTGTAACCTGAGGTTTCAGTGCCGGCATTAGCTACAGGTCTCGTCATCTTGTATACGGTT